TTGGTCTTAATAAGATTGTTTTAGTCCCTTGCTGTGCAGGTGAGATTGTATCATTCTATTGCTTTTATCCAGCTTCTTATAATCATCAAAGTGGAGAGGGTTGGAATTTTAGTGCCACACCGTCAATGTTACTTGAGTGTTTTCCTAATCTTGATTCAGATTTATTGGCAATTTGCAAGCATTGTGAAGATATCAAATTGTGGAAGCTGTTTATTCATGAACCATATCCATATTGGGTAAAAGGCTGTGTAGCATTGCTTGGAGATGCTGCACATCCAATGCTACCTGATCAAAGCCAGGGCGCATGTATGGCGATTGAAGATGCGGCTGCACTAGGTATTATATTTTCGCCTAAATATTGGGGCAATAAAATATTCACGGTCGAGCATGGCTTAAAGATATATGAATTGTTAAGAAAAACAAGAGCAACACGAGTTCAAGAGGCCAGTTCGCGTGTGCCAGAAAACTTTAATGAAAGAATTGACTGGAATTCACAAAGAAATCATGATAACCAACAGAGTGCAACAACAATATTAACCATTGATGAAATCAACGCTTATGACATGGAGAAACATCTAGACGATCTTCTTAACTAGGGTGTAGATCTCACTGACACTCACAGTCACATCCAAATTCTTCACTTGTGAAAATAAAGTAATCTCGAACCTACAATCTTATTTCTTTTGAATAAACTACTTTTTACCAAAACAAGCATCTTGAGGGTGTCGGTGTGTGTGTGTGTGTGTGTAGGTGTGAGTGAGTGAGTGTGGGCTGAGCGATTATAGACACGAACATATACACTCACACTTGTAACAAGTAAAAATCAAGACGAACGATGATTGGCGACTAATCTTGACGGTGTGGGTGTGGCTGTGGGTTGGGTTGACAGAGTCACCCACACTCTTAAGATATTGTGGTATATTTTGTTTTTAGATAAAACGTATTTACAGATTAAAGTATGCAAGACAAAATTTAGCCATTTATTATAGGTCATCCGGTATTCTCATAGAAGAAAGAAAAACAGCGTCACTTGGAAAATTCCTAGTGAAGAAAGTGATCATAGTATTCTTGTTTAGATAACCAGACTCGCAGAACAGAAAAGAAAGAAAAACTATTTTTTTCCAAGTTTGTTTTTCTTTCTCAAATAAAAGTGGGAGAGAAAAGAAGGAACTGCCGCGATGAATAATCAGTCACACATTATTGGGTGTGGATGAGTGTGTGAGTGCTGGTGTGGGTGAATGTAGTTGTGTGTGAGATAAGAACAAGTCCCACCCGGAGCAATATTCATACCTATACCTAAATCTACACCCACACCCACACCTCGAATTAATCAAATAATTGTCGTGGAATTTTTAATGGTAATTTAATTGATTCTGGATTAGATAATTCCGTTTTAAAATGAATAATTTCAATTCGAATAGGCATTTGAGTTATATAATTTTGTAATTTTATCTGTACTTCAGTTTTTGATTGCAAAATATTAATGATTTGTTTATGATCGTTTAGTTTTTGATATGTAGGATAGAAAATATTCTGCTGAAATTCTTTTTCAGCTTCACGTTCTTCATTGATTGTCGTATAAATTGGTTGAATCCATGGATTTTCATCGGGTTGATGACTTTATTGAGCAAACAATTCAAAACAACGATTAAACAAAAGACAAGCATCATCTTGATTTGATTGTAATAAAAGAAAAAAATTCGTTGGTAACAATCGTGTACAAACAAAAAAAACATGTTTTTGCTCGATCACTTCTATCAGCTATACGTTCTCTAACTGCTGTTTCATTAATTGCACTTCAAGAAAGAATAGGTCCGTTGAGATTTTCTACAGATGAATCAAATAATAATAAATACCAAGCCTAGATAGTGAATAAAGATACGAAGATTATTGTTCATTCGACTTACCAAAGCACCAAATGTTGCAAAATATGCAATATAAACTGCTGGAATGCTGAATGTATTTTCGCCATACTTCTGAAGTAATGCTCCTCTTTCAGATAACACACACCCACAATCATAATGAATCAAAGTACGTTGAATAGGGTTAGTTGCAGTCGATGCAAAACCTATACAGAAGATATTCTATAAAATGCTATTATCTTGGAAAACTCACCGTATGTGTTTTCAAGTTTCAATGGTTGAAATGCAAATGTCCATAGAGTATTTTCTTTTCCACTGAGTAAAATCATTGCTAAAAGATTAACAAGTGTATGACGAATAGGTAGTTGTTGTTCATCTTGACAATCAATTTTAAATAAATCATTAAGATAATTTTTATCCTGATCGTTATTCTCTTCTGGATATCCAATCATATATTGCTCAGATTGTAAAAAATCATTAAATACTCGTCGTTGTTCATCAGATAGTTGAAGTGTATGATCAATATTAACTATTAAGTCTTGAACAGATTCTAATTGATTATTACAATAATAATCATAATAAATAATTAATAATATCATTATTTTTATTTCAATAACATTAATGATTAATGGATTCTAATTGAATGTTGATTCTATCCAATTAACTAAAGGTATCCAACGTTGTTCGATACTGTTCTTTTTAATACATTGATCAATTAATTGAGTTAGTGTATGATATAGTTGATGTAAGGTTGGAAAAATTGATGAAGTTTGATCCGTAGTTATTGTAAATTGTAATTGATGAGAATAATGCAGAGGTCTATTATGTTGAGTATTGTATTTTAATGTGAATTGATTATGTAATGTATCCGCCCATTGAACATTTAAATATTGAAGGCGTCCGGATATGAGTAGGTTAAGAAAAAAACTTCATGATTGTTTAGTAGTTATAATTGAACAGAAAAATTGAACGTAATTACTTAATTGAATAACAGGTACTTCAATTCTTAAATATTGATTAATAACAGCCGTAAGAATATGATTAATTGTTTGTTGATCGTGTTGATCTAAATTTGTTTGACATAATAATAACGCTGTAGTTTGTAAAATAAAAAATTCTTTTAATTGATTGAATATTTTTTCTGCAATCGGAATTCGATTTGCATTATTAATCTTTGATAATCTTGAAAGAAGAATTTTATTGATTAAAGCTGGTTGAATTATTGCATTATTTGCTAATCGTCGAAGATAGAAAAAAAATAGATCAATTATTATATGATCTGCATTGTCATCAGCAATCGCTGATGAATGATAAGGTAATTGATAATTTTCTAAATTGTCATTATCGATACATTTTATTATTATTGATAAGAGTGAAATACGATCCCAAAAATCAGTATTTTGTTGATTGTTTTCAAGTAGAATATTCGCTAATTCATTGAAAATAAATTGTTTCACTGGTAATAATAAATGAAATGATGGTGGATTTATCAACTTTAATAAATAAGTAATTTCTTGATGTAATGACTTTTTTGATTTTCTGATTGTTTGAATAATCCAGTGTTGAATATCCATCATTAATGTACTACTAATACTATTATTTTCTTTGAAATATTGATCTGTTCTTTGAACAATCAAAAGTAAATATTTTAGACAATTTGATCCAGAGAAATTCATAAAATGATCATCTTGTATAAGTGATGTATTGTATAATAATTGTTGAATAAGTTTAATTGGTTGTGGTGTTTGTTCATTTAGGAATATTAAATAAGATAAATTCATAAATGCAACCTTAACTTTCATATCGATAAATTCTATTCGTCCTAAAACTTGTTCGGACGGATGATATCTTGAAATTAATGTATAACTATGAATCCATTGCTTAGGATCTTCATTTATTTGACATAAATGATTTGAAAGCAACTAATTGATACTATTTCAAATATACGTACTCAAATACATATGAAAACTAACAATATTATACTTTGATGACTGATAATGTTCTTCAACTCAAAGTTGATCTTGATATGATACATATTCAAATAGATAACGAACAATATGAACATGAAGATATAATAAGAAGTATGCAACGAGAATATGAAGCAACTAAACTTTTATCAAGTAAGAATAGAATATTATTTTTGTTGATTTACGTTTATTGATGTTAAACATCATTTTCTCAATGATTTATATACTTTTACAAATCTTCAATTTGATGATATTGAATAAAAAAAACAGATTATTCTTTCAAATTTATTATCAGTGAAAATATACAATCATTTTATTATTCGTTAAAACAATATAAGGCTCGTTAGAGAGAACAGAAAAGAATTCTTGGAATGTACCTAACTGACAAAAAAAATAATATTAAAAATGACTAGAAATTATATATTATCGTATAATATGACATTTGTTTTGTTATCATCTAGCATTATAGTTATGGCCGATTGAAAAGAAGACATCGACTGGAAAGAACACAATCAATTTTGGCAAATTCACTGTTTAGTAATTCACCATGAGATACTGTTGGACCAAGTCGATTGGTTAAAATCTAATTTAAACAATAATTAAATTATTAATATGAAAAATTAAATAATTAAACATACTCGTATACTTTCACCATATCGATGATCGATAGGTAAATGAAAAACAGTTTCATTAACCCATAAACAATTAGCTGCAGGATCATCTCGAAGTGTAATTATTTTATAGGATTTATATTCGCTCATTTCTTCCATTTGCTAATAAGATAATAAAAAAATTTTATTTTCTTAAATATAATAAAAAATCATTTTTTACTCGAAGAAGATCTTTAGCAATATCTGATCCTCCAATAGCCATTGTATCGATACCAACCATTGAAACAAAATTTTTTAAATGTGCACCTTTCTTGACCTAATTATTTATCGTAAAATATAATCAATAAAGAAAATGACAAAAAAAAAATACCCTGAGTAAAGTCACTGGATATTCAGGAAATGCAGATGCTACGGCTTTAGCTCCAGCTAAATTCGTAGTTTTGGATAAACCAACAAAAAACTCACGACCTTGAATAAACAATAAAATATCATATTAAATTACAATAAATAAAATACCAGTAAATAGAACGTCTCCTCCATCAATAGTTGCTAATGGATCTTTGATATCAACAATGCCAAGACCTTCTCTTCTAAGTATTGTTCGAATAATATCAACCTAGAAATATAAATTTGTATTTTAATCTTCAATTATAAATATTACTTCTTTAATTCTTCCAGGTAAACCAGGTCGACATATCAATGCAATACCATCGCAAATAACAGCTGTATCTTCAACAAATACTCCTTCAGGTAGTGATTCATCAGCAGGTAACTCAATTACATCCAAACCAAGTTTTCTACAAAATAAATTCTTTTAACTATAAATTGAAAACTAAAAATTATTATACCTTAAAATTGAAATATAATCTTGATGTTGTTTTCGTGCTTTTTCAATATTAATAACTTCTCGTATGTCACGTTGACATAGAGCTGCATCTTTTAAACTTGCTGGTACACGACTAACAATAGCCGATGTAAAATGAAAATCGAATGGATATGCCAACATAATACAATCTTAAAAAAAAAGAAAAGAAAAGAAAAGAAACAAAATAAATAGTATATGAATGTATAGATATATATGTATGTATATATATGTATATTGCACACGAAAGAAATAGAAGAAACAACAATAATTTAAGATTTACAAGATCAAATTAAAAAAAAAATATAGAAAGATATATGAATATGACATAAAATATATATATATATGTTTTATAATTAATTAACTTTTGTTCGATTTGTTGAACTAGCTGCTTCTTTTATAGTATTAACTGTTTTGGATAACCAACTAACAGTGGAATTATTATTATTATTATTATTAATTGAACGCATACTATTCACAGATTGTGTGTCCGAATCACTTGTAACTGATGTTGAATGTCGAAGTTGATGAGCAAGTTCTTGATTTTCACATAATGCTTGTGTAAGAGCTAATTTTTTTTCGGCTAATTCAATTTCAACTTGACGTAAACGATCAGCAACAGACGATGGAATGGATGATATTGGAGGTAAATCATTGTCATTATCATCATTAATTGTTTCTCGTTCAGGTGTAGATGCTGTACTTGATGCTGGAGATATAGTTCCATTTATCGACGTTTTACAAGAATCACAGCAACGATTCTAAATAAAAAGAAACAAAAAAAATGAATTGTATAATTTTTAATTTAAAGAAGTTTGATATATCTGTCTACACTCGATATTATGATGTTTCTAATACGGTTATTCTCTTTCTCGTAGAGAAGAGTCTAGCAGAAATAAATTGTTTTCTTTCTTGCTTGTTTATCCGCACTTCACTGATTGGTCCAAGATTTAGGCAAAGATATAAAAGGATAATCGGAGTTGAAGAATTCAAATCTGACTTCTGTTTTGTTTAATTATACAAGTAACGCTCATCCGAGAACTCACTTAGCTGTTTCTCGTAGAAATGCATCCTATTCAACAGTTTCTGATCACCATACTCTGTACTACAAGCAGGAGAACATTTGGATACCCATGAATATGTATTACTGAAAAACTCAATTTTTATCAGTCCACGTCACTTCCCCCTATCTATCCCTCTCTCAGAAGTCTGAGCAAATGAGGCGCACATTTGAATGCCAGTATCGAAATATCTCAAGAAATGACTTGTCCGGAAAATCAGTCTGCGATGGTTTTTTGACCCAATGAGCACACAATCAATCAGACAATTTATGTTTACTAGACTCTTCTCTACGAGAAAGAGCTGAGTGAGTCTTTAGACGAGCGTTGCATATATAGTTTTTGAGTAATTTAAATGATATTTACTTGAATCGATTGAATTTTATTTTGATATTTTTCTTTTTGTTTATCTAATTGATTATTTAATTGTGAACAAATCTTAAAGAAAAAAGTTCATTATCGAAAATGTTATTTTATGTAATATTTTTTTACATTTTTATAATCTGTTACAATTTTTTGTGTTTGTTGAAGTTCATCACATGTACGTCGAAACGCTTCTCGAATCTAAAATAATATTTTAGTTTTTTTTTTGAAATTTATCTTGATTTTTTATTTTACATTTTCTAATTCTTCATCTAAACGAATTGTGTGTTGTTCACTTTCTCTTACAATCGATCGAGTAGCTTGTAATTCTCGTGTTAAAGTTTCAATACGATCTTCAGCCTAAAATTTTTTATATAATCAATAACGATAATAAAAAAAAAGAAAATATAACAAACCTCATCAAGACTACTTTTAAGTTTAACACGATCATTGACTAATTCAAGTGCAAGCATTTCATTTTCTAATTCTGAACGCATACATGTTTCAGTTAAACGTTTATTATCAAGTTCAAGACGTTGCAATGGTAATTCTCCTTGTTCTTCTTCAGCTCGACGTGTAAAAAAATCTTTTTCATAACGTTTTAATTTTTTAACATTAATCTATTAACAGAAAACAAATAATCTCGAAATATATATATTTTTTCAAAAATTACCTTCATTGAACAAGCTGTTTGAATAAGTTCATCAGCATGATCTTCACTTCGATATTTTTTCGGTAAATTAACACGAAAAAATCTCATAATACCTTCAAAATCAAGTGATAATAAATCTTTTTGACAACTCTAGAAAATATTTTCGAAAAATTTCAAATTTACTAAATAAATTATAAGAGTACCTTAAGTAAAGCTAGACCAACACCGAAGAGTGCATTGAAACCCTAGGAAAAATAAATTATTTGATACTCAATTCTTTTTTTTTAATATATTGAAGTTTATATTTCGAAAGTGAAAGTTTCAGATGAATAATTATAGTCTTTTAATATCTAATTCAGCATGCATAACATATATATATATCCTTGAGAAAACATTAATCATAAACAAATGGAACATTTATTCAATAATAAACTACAATCATTGATTCCGATTCGAACATATTCTTTTTATTATTGTCTCGGGTCGAATCCGGAAATCTTTGAAATTTTGATCGTTATCGACTTCCTTATATCACTACTCTCCACGCAATCAAATCAAACGTTCTAGTAGATACTATGTAAATGTATTCATCAGAAAATTTGTCGGATTCTTTCGAACTGAATACACTAAGAGTTTTCAAATATTTCTTTCTATCTAAATAATTTTCTAATATTATTTTTTCTCTATTTAGCTTTTATAATTGATATTTATATCAATGAATTCGTTGGTTAACACAACTTTTGTTGACAAAAGATTTCCTATACATGCAATGCGTTTATTCATAATTCTCAAGAGGGAAGTAATACAGAATAGAAAGAAACTTCGCGCACGTGTTCACTAATGCTGAACTTTGAAATGCTTATCTATAAAATTTTGAGATAAATAATCAATGAAAGTTGAATTTTAGAGTTATTGATGTTAAAACTTTCAGTTTAAAGTTAAAGAAAAAATTCATTTTCGGAACTTATTGCAGATTATATTAATATCGAAATATTTCTCTGTTTGTTCTCAGAAATTGAAAAAAGACTGATTTTGATGTTGAACTATTATTTATACTTGTTTTCACATTTAATTATCTAATAAGTTTTAATCCAGAGAAAACATATAGTCAAATATTTTTAGTATTTTCTTAATCTCATACTTCACGCAATAAATAATTACCACTATATATGAATTGTTCGATCAATGAACTAGTATCGATAGGGAAAAAAATCTATTGTATTGTCACTCAACATAATCAGGACTCTCTTCAACGAAACTATCATCTATTTGTTTTATCGATATATAAACTTCAATATATTCTCTCGGAAAACTAACTTCATAAAGAAAAATATCCATAATACGGAAGACTAAATACAATGGAAATTTTGCCGTAAATAATGTTAAAAACCATTGTGAAGCATACATATGACATTCAACTTTAAGATCATCAAAATGTGCATAAAGATCAGGTAAATTATCTTGTATAAGACATGTTAATTGATGAAATCGAACTTGTAAATTTTCAAAATTAGCTTTATACATTTCACGTAAAATATATCTTGGATCTTCCATTAATTTACATAATAACATGAATGCTTGTTCTTCTGGCATCTGAAATTATAAAAATAAATATAAATATTATCTAATATTTTCTTTTATCTTACATGAATAAGTAAAGTTGCAATAACAAACGATAAACCTTGACAATATCCAACTTCTTCATCACGTACCGAATATGCCTTAATTTTTTTTTATAAATATATAAATTAATATAAACAAATAAATTTTATTTACTCGACTTAATTTATATAATGCTTCCTGTCCTATTCCACCTGCATCTTTAAAATATTCATGAGCAGGAAATGTTCGATTTAAATCATTGAGAATTACACGTTCACTCGATGATTCCTATAATAATATAAACAAAAGAAAATTCTTTTTTTCTTTCTTTCTCTTTCTCTCAAACAAACTTTTGTAAGTAATAAACGATATGTATTAATCATTTCATTTTCATCACCAACACTTCCTGCTAATAATTGCCATACTTCACCACGTAATGCTTCCGGTATACCTTTTCGTACTAATGATTGTAAACCACGTGGTCGTTCGCTATAATTTTTTCTCCATTTTGTTAATATATCACTCCAATTTCCAAGAACTTCTTCATCACATTCTTTACTTACATGACCAAAACCACTTACCATTGGTTCATCATCATCTTCTTCAGCAGCTATTAATATATTTTAAAATTTTAAATATGAAAAAAAACGACGACATTTCTTTACCAGCTGCTGTTTGACGTAATTTTGCACGTCTTTCCGATTCCGATTTACTTTCTAAAAGTGTAACTTCGTATGTATCATCTTGATGTGATGACGAGGGACTTTTTGGTGTAACCTAATAAAATATTATTTTTGTTTTTATTTATCAATAAATAAAATATCTCTACTTCTTTAAGAATCATATCAAATTCTTCAGTAAATGGTGATAATTTTTTAAATGACGACCATATTGTATCACTTATATCTTGGGAAAGTATGTCACCTTTACTATTTGAGACACAAACACGAGCTTTTGCTTCGATTAAAAATCGAACTGGCTCTTGTATACCACTGATTACAAGGTCAAGAGCAATTGTTAAAAATACACGGGCTCCTAAAGCAAAGAAAGAAAGAAAAAAAAAAGAACGTATGGAAAGTAGACAAAAGGTGGCAATCGTTCTAATATTTGCATAAAGTCATAATAAAAAAGCAATCAAGACAAAAAAACATAGAAAGAAAAAGAAAAAAAGTAATTCTATAATCTAGCTAAGAGGATTAAACGAGAATAGAACATACCTTTTGGTGTTTCCTCATTAAGATGTGTTAATTCTTTAAATCCACGTGCTGATGGATCCCAATTTGCTCGAACCATATAATATCGATTATCTTCTGATTTCCCCATTGAATCCTAATATAGACAAAAAAAACATTTATATTTTCAAAAAATAAAATAATCAATGATTACAAACCAAATCAAGTAGTTGCATATCACTTGCACGAACATTTCTTCCTTGGGCAAGAAGCATACCAAAGCATCTATATTTATTTTCATATAAAAATAAAATCTAATATTTCAATAAATAGAATTTTTACCTTTCAATATTAAGTGGAAAACCACGAATTTGTTGTAAAGCAACAGTTACATTTTTACGAACATCTGTTCGTAAGCGAAATACATTTTTCTCCACTCTAATAAAACTAATTAATATTTTAGTTCTAAAATATTTTTTTCGAATTACCGTGGTACAGAAGTAAAATTAATATTTCCTTTATTATCAATAGCTTCTTCTTTAATATCAGAATAACATCGAAATTTAATTGTACCATCAGATGGTCGTTGGGGTAATTGTTGTTGATTATTTGATGATTGATTAGAATTTGATGATGGTTGTTGTAATTGTGCTACAGTTGCTTGTATTGCTTGACCAATTAATGATGTTGTACGACGAGAAATTGATACTGATGATTGATTTCCTGATGAAGATGTTGAATTATTTGATGACGAACTTGAACGTCGAAATGCATTAGCAAAACTGAGCAAAATTTTATAAATCTAATTTAGAAAAAAACAAAAAGTTTAGAGCCACCACCAAGCAACAAGCAAAAAAGATATATTTCTCCTTTCTCACATACAGACTTAGTATTTAAAATCTAAATAATTCAATCTGAATATAAGACACAAAAACATATATATTTAATTCTTACTGCATCTTGTATATCACAACGAAAAACTTGACATTGATAAAGAAGTTCTTGTTGAACTTTTCCATTTTCATTCTGTTGAATAGAACTATTTGTTGTTGTTGACATACGTGAAGTTGTAAATGCCCAACAACATGCTAACGGTGTATTCGATGGACCACGTGCACAAAAAAGTATTTGGGATATACGATATGATATTATTTCAAGTTCAGTTTGAGGATCAAGTAATCTAAATAGATATAGTCAGATTCTATTTGTCTAATATTCAATATTCTTACCGAACTACACCATTAGCATTATCAGGAACACATAATGTAACTTCAATTGGCAATTTACTTTGTTCATTTAATATTGCCATGTTTCTAAAAATTAGAAAATTAAGTTTTTTTCGATTATTAAAATAAAATTGTACCGATTAAGTTCTTCTTCAGAACGAGGTGCATTTATACTAGCTGATCCTAAATAAGTTACACCATGGAAAAGTACATTATTTGTTAAATCTGGTCGTTGTTGTTGTTGTTTAGTTATACCTTGTTAATAATAAAAAAAAAGTATTTAAATAATAGATTTATATGTTTATATTACTAATATCATCTTTAATTGATGTTTGAAGTAAATTTTCATCGGATTGAGGAATAGGATTAGATTCTGGAATAATTGTACTATCATTTGGGGTTGTTTGTTCAGATGACTAAAAACAAAAATACAAAGTTTAAATAAATAATAAATCGAATATTATACTTCATTAAGTATTTCAGCCATATTATTTTCTAAATCAGTACTACCACCACCTGAATTAAACAAAAAAAAGAATGATTGATTAATTTATCCAAGAAAAAGAATCAAGCAGAAATAAATTACATAAGTGTTAATTATATTAATCAGAAAAGAAGAAAAATTCAGCAAATATTAACTTACACAAATATAAAAACTAAAAGGGATTTTCTTTCTCTCTATGCTGGAATTAAAAGTTATATTTAGATACAGAAAAAAAAAATAAAAATAAATTTATTGTATATTTAATCAACTTACCAGCAGCTACTTTCAAACGGGGTTGTTCTTTGCCAATAAAAATAAAGTCAGCGGAATTTAAACTACTTAAACTTGTTGAATCGTCCATATAAAAATCTTAATATCTATAAAAATAGAAAAATAAGCAATTGAATTAATTGATAAGCGAAACCAGATCTTGTCAAAAAAAATGTCGTCTGACATTGACAAATAATTTATGTCGAACATTTCTTATATTTTTAGTAAACAATATATCATAGGATTCGACTATTATTCAACCGTAACAAATACATTTGTGTATTGTTTTCATGTTAAATTATTCTAAAATATAGACCTTCCGATTAAATCTAATCAATAAATTCTATGATCGATGTAGACTCATATTCTTCTAAAAAAAAATGAGGAATTCTTCGTTTTTTTTTTTTTGTTTGTCAGAAGAATATATTAGCTCGAGGGAAAAAGATGTGTGATCCGTCACGATCTCGTTTGTTTTTTTTTTCTTTTTCTCTCGAACACAAACAGAACAGAAGAGTATACTAGCATTGACTGGATGATTGTCTTGTCTATTCCATAAGTTAGTTGCTGTTGCTGAATTGATGATTGATCTTTTGAAATATTATTCATTATTTATAAGATGTAAAACAATTAAAAAACTGATTCGTTTTTTTTAAGCTTCTAGTTTTTCTTATCTAAGTAAATAAATATTATCAATTTATATGATTTACGCAGAAACTATGTTTCTATAGATGTCGCTAGTAGATGATAATTTAAAAATATACATATACATAGTATTATCGAAAAACGAATGGTTATATTGTTTACAATATAAAATAAAAAATAGATTAACCTTGAAGAGAATTTTGATTTGAAAAAGATTTGGATGACATTGACTTTAATTGAGAAAAAAAGGTTAAGAAATTTCAACGATGAAGGCACTTAATATTCGCTATTTTTCTTGAAGAAATTGATTCTAGAGTGTTAATTTTTTTCCGAAAGAAATCGACGAACAATAATATAAGAAAGAAAAAGTGCAAACGTCTTATGTAATCGATACTATAATAGTATGTATTAAATGACTGATCCTTTGTTAGAAAAAAAAAAGTTAGCATGATCTAATAGAAATATTATGTAACTTCCAGATAATTGATAGAATGAAATTATGTATGATACTAGTGAAAGTTGTAATCGAATGCATTATTTATCTTCGATCACACATGTCTGAAGGAATAGTGATAAAAAAACTCGTATATTGAATGAATCACTCTCCTAATTTCATCTTCAAATACGATCATGTTTAGTTCAATAAAAGACAGTATTTTCAATAGGCAATTCAAGAAATATCAAACTAATCAAGATTGCTAGTTGGTTAATCGAGTGTCGTCATTTTATTCAATATTTTTCGATAAATTTATTTAGAACATAGCCTATCATTCGCAAGTGTATTAATACTATCGCTCAAATTTTAATTAACAAATAAAGAACATATAACATCTGATTCAATGTTGCGTGTTCGTTTAAATTTATTCATATGTATAAATCATTATCAAAATTTTTTATTTTGTTAATTTTGAAGGAATTTTATTATACTTTTACTAATGAACTAGTCATGATCATAGTTTAAAACTTGTACAGAAAAGAAAAACAAAATATACTTTATCAAACAATTAGCTATCATTTAATTATTTATCTGTTTTTGTTTATGATTGAATATGAAGTATTGATAATATTATGTTTAGAACAATTAGATTCTTTTATTTCGCCCATGAGTATCCATTTCGAGAATGTATATCTACATCCACTGTATCAAAACTAAATCGTATAGTATGTCAAAATGTATATATGTATATTACACCAATAAGTAGTCAATTATATGAAAAAATACTTTCCAACTACTACTCTTACCTTTTTTGTCAAGGAAAAAACGTGAGGAGAACGATGATTTTATATATGTTGGAAAGAGACAGAATATTAATATATTTCACTTCCTTTTTCTCAATCATATTTTTGCTTCAGTACATTTTAGCAATATAACATAATGCTATTTAATTGAATTAACTAAACAATAACAAAATTTCGACATAATAATATATGTCACTCGAGATTTTAGTTAGAATAAATGTAAGTACAAGTCTCGATCCATATAAATCTAAAAAAATTCAGTTTCGGATATTTGCCCAACTAGTTGTTCAGAAGAGAATTGAATTCTATATCAAATAATATGTTATCAAAGATTTTCTAAAATTTTAAAACTTGCACTCTGATGCAAAATTAATAGTGTTTTACAGAGCAATTCTCACATTTGTAATCATCATAAGAACTATATCCAGATTATAACATATAGATCAAGTTTTTTAGAAAAAATACAACATATTGTTGGTTAAACATACAATAATAATATAAATAAAAATTTAACCATGTGTGATTTAAAAAATGAGGAAGCATAACATGATTTTATCCGTGCTCATTCTTTGACAATCATGTATTTATTAATAATTTACTTCATAGACTAATGAATGAAATGTCATTCAACTACTTTCTATTTACGTCGAGTCATTATTCAATTGCGGCTATTCCAACTGTTGGACTTGAGCCAATTACTGGAATTTGAACAGGTGAGACGAAATTTACTATACCTACGACAAAGTTGACCATGATCAATACACGTCTTGCAATCTCCGATTTAGAGCGTCTTTCAGTCTCAGTTTCTCCATCAACATAGTAGAATCCGTCTAAATTAAAATACAATTTTATA